CGGCAGGAAATAATAATAATGCCGCAATAATAAAACAAAGGTAGGCGGTGACACGGAAAATGAGCGCCTGAAACCTTCGATCATCTCCTTTTCCTTCCATATTTTAATTCTTCAGATACAACTCTCGTCAAAAACATGCTATGCTGATCAGAAAAGATACTACACTATAGCAGAGTAGCACACTGACTCTCTGATTTGAATTACCCTGAGTTTGAATAAGAAAGTTTTGATGAAAATCTATGCGTCATATACTACGAATTCCTGCTGCATTTTCACCACTCTGTAAACTTGGAATGATTTCATGATCTATATAAAGTATAGTGGGACGTCCCCGAGATGCGGACGTAATTGATGCATGAACGTTGTCCCTAATTCGGAAAGTCTGCAATTCGGAACTCGTTTTCGCATAGCCTTCGATGGGAATATTTGTAATTGTTTCTCCTTTAGATCAATGATCAAGAACATTTCTAAAGATTAAAACCACACATATTTTGATCTTTTGGCAGAATAAGGAGCTTAAGAAGCAAATAAGAAGATGAACAAGTCTTGCTACACTGATCATATATACATGATGAAAAACATTGAAAAAGAAGTACAGAAGTAGCTGGTCTTCGGTTACGAATTAGAGTAATTTTATAATGGAATTGATTTTTAGTACAGTATTTGTGAATGTGAATTGCTCAATTTCTTTAAGAAATATGAAGATGTAGAAAAATTAAATTGTTACATTTTTTCCAGAAATTTTGAAAAAGTATCTCGAGTCACTGCCCGGATTTCGGGGCAGATTTTTTTTTTTTCGTTCTAAGCATTCCTACGTCAAATCGTTCGTAGTTCGGGGTGTCTGCATGTTGCGGTCCCACTGTACTTTATGGTACTAATTTATGGTACTAATCATGCTGATCTTGATCACTCACATTCTTGGGATTGTCCGTGACTTGTCAATTATATTCTATAGAAGACAGCCGATCATTATCCGAGTTAATTTAGGCTCCCCTGCACAGTAAACAAATTTTCCTCGCTAAATTAAGATCTTTTCCAGAAGAATCAAGCTCGCGAACTGCTTTTAGTAATCCGTCATTAAGATCGTAGTGTACGACAAGCATCAGATAAGTTGTTACTGACGAGTAAAATATGAAGACGTGAAATTGGCTATAAATCCAATAATGATGGACAATTCTAAAATAAATCGAAGGAAAATGCTGCTTGTGGGGCCCACATTCGGCGCCACGCCGGGAAGCACAGCGAGATGAAACCCTGTTGATTCTTTTCAAAGCCGACGGCCTTTAGTTATTAGCATAGACTTGTGGCAAAGGTGATTTACGTGCAAAGCCGCAAGTCGGTTTTCGAATACTTTTTCCGTACACGAAGCGATATTGGCAGACTCACAGAATTAGCGGAAATCAATGTTGAGAATAATTCATTGTATTTTAGCATTAAAGTCGTACAGTATTTTCTTTCAAAATTTAATTTTCTGAATGTATTTTAAAATTGGAAGAGAAAGATCGGTGGGAAAAGTAATGTTTATTCTGAATTGAATGCGAGAGTACCGATCCGTCAGATTTATTGTGGGAAATTCTTCGATCACTCGGATTTCGGACTTACGGCGTACGCCGAAAATTTCGTGAATATTCAAATAAAAGAAAAAATTACGTATGCGGTATTTGTCTTGAAGCGAATTATGATACAGCATATAAATCAATGATATGATAGGTATAATATTCCATATGATGTATATTTTATAATACAGTATTGACATGCGACTCTCGCGTTCAGTCAACAGTTTCAAACGTTTTCTTAGGAATTTAATTTTGATAAAAATAAATGTCTTTGGGGGATCCAATTATTGAAAAAAA